GAGCCTTCTTGACAGCAAACTAAAGCGTTCTTCCGCTGATTCAGTCACTGAGGCGCCGTTGAGTGAATCAAAGAATTTTCTCAATCGCTCCACAGGCGGATGTCTTTAGTTATGGCCATTGACTACTGCCTTTACCGTCGACTCGGATCGTAAAATGGAAGGGGATTTCCGTGCTCAGGTCCTCGGCCGTGCAGGGCTGCCGGAGTTTTACGACATCAAGGCGTCTCGAACGTCGAATTTCGGGTGCAGATGAGAGGCGAACCTTCGGGCGTGTGCGAACAAGGACATGGTCAGATCCGCGAACACAACCAAATCCGGCACCACACATCGACTTGTTATCGTGAACCGAACTGCGGAACCAACTAGGATGTATTCGGTCTGACTGGCCGTATGGCCGTCGCCTGAATACCAGGTCAACCGATGTTTTTGGCACTGCTGGAAGCATGTGCTAGTGAAAAACAGTCAGTTCTGGTCAGTAAAATTCCGCATTCTTTCATTACTGTCGCATCGAAAGCCAAGCCCCAAACGACCAACAAGATGACTGTTTAAAGAGTCGCCGGGTTCAGTCCCCGGCAACAATCAACCGATCGCGACGATGAAGTCGCTCAACTAACTCCTGTGGATGCGAGTTTTCCTTATCATACTGTTCGGCAGCTGATGTTGGTGCATACACACAGACGACAGAGATGTTCATAATGTGGCGCTTCAGTCTCACTCAAGCCATTTGGTTTTGGGCTGGTGACCATGCAAGTAGTGCACGGTTTACTCTCTCCAATAGGGCGATAGCCACCCGCATATAATAGAAGAGTCACATAGGCCATTGTGGTAAAGTAAAGTTAGGTTACTCCAGGATATTTATTTCCCGGGCACCCAAGTCGGGGATTCGGACTTCGCATATACACTATACATCCATGTGGTACTGACGAAGACTGCGTGCTGTGAGAATCTGGGTACCAGAGTCCAGAAAATTTCGCAAATACCAGCATTCGTTTTCGTTGTAGTATATCAGCTCGCATAACAGTCGCCTACACCACTGGGCCGGGACTGAGAAGCACGTCGGTTTCCGCGGACGCTAAAGCATGGATCCTAGTACCCTAAGTAGGCACTTTTGTATGGGGTGTCTTGGATACAGGCAGGTGCTCAAAAACCGCTCGGATTATTCTATATCGTCTCTAACAGCGTTTAACCTATTTAATGGCGGTTCATGGTCTTCATGTCACAGTTCCGCCATTGAGATTTACAACACCTTATAAGGCAGTCGACAGACCAGACTCTGACCTGCCACGTCCTGGCAATATCGTCGCTCCTGGGCAATATTCACCAGGCCCGATAGACTGCTTATTTTGCAGCTAACCGTCAATGGAGACCGTTCAATTATTCGCCGCCTGTGGACGCCCCAAATAGCCAGTACCTAGACTAAGGGGTAATTTGTTTTCAAATAGAATTAAGAAGACCTGCATTCTCTTGGAGCAAAAGACGTTCGAAAAACATGAATAGATACCCACATACTGGCAATCACCCCACTTAGCCTACTCCAACGGAGTCAAGTAGTCAGGGTAACCTAAATTTACCCTACGCACAAACCCTCCTCCATATACGAAATGGCCTAATTGTCCCCGCTAGTCCGACTTAACAGTGCCGCATAATAACTCCAAAGAATATAATGAAATGTGAATTTCGTCATAACGACATGTTGTCATTTCGTCATAAAGTAAATAAAAGATGGCAGAAATTGAAGTTTGAGGTAACTTTTAATTATTCCTTATAAGAAAAAAGTGGAACTTCGCTGCCTTTAATGAGCCTTCTTTCTACTCCCTCAGATGAAATAATTCCAAGTCGAATGCACCCTCCACTGGATCCATCCCTATTTATCGCCAAACCAACACCTAAAACGGAGATAAAAGCTAACTAGTACAAGCGAACTGCAGACATGAGACATTGTTTAACTGAGTAAATAAGCCAAGCATAACATGAGACAGGTTGTTAAAATACAGCATGAAAGGAATGTTAAAAAAAACTTGAGAATAAATCCATAGTGATCGGGACAAACTATGGTCTTCTAAGCTGTATAATGGAAAGCCGTGAATGTCATCATGCCCGATCTAAGTCGATTAACGCAGAACGGAGATGACGCATCAGATTAAGGGACTTGGTTTTCACATCAGTCTCGGCGTCAGTGTTCTTGTGCAAACAGTGTTTAAACAAGAGATTACGTTCTTGAAAATGGATTGGTGAATTATCTTAACATAACAGAGGGCAATGTTTCGTACAGCAAGAATTTTAGGTGAGCAGACATAGCACAGGAGAGCTTTTTCGCCGATATGTGCTACTGGACTCCCGAAGTCCCAAATTCTTTGAGGTGGAATTCTAATCTGAAAACTCTAGCCGTACGACTCTGCTGGCCTTATGTGATGTGACAGGTAAAGTCAGTCGCTAAGTCGCTTGGTTTATCCATAAACAATGGGAAGATCAACATTATCGAGCTACCTGCCAACCATGGAAACACTCCTAGGAATTCATGACCAGTAACTGAAAGTAAACAGCTTCGAATACATTGAAACCAAGTCAGTGTTAAATTCACAAAATAAGGACGATATCACCCACCGAATCAATCGGCTCACATGGTTTTATAATCCATAAAAAGCGTCGCTGGCCGATAAGATATCTCTCATAATAAGGATTGACATGAGCCGGGGACCCTCCAAATAGCTCCACATATGCTGTTTAATATTGGACTGTACACAGAGAGTAGCGCAAATTAAAGATATGTCATCACCCACATCTCAGAAGCATCATTAGATAAGCATGTCGACTTGATTTTAAATGAAACAGTTCGAAGACGTTGTGACGGTATCGCGAACGTAACTCGAGCTATCAAATAAAGATAAATGAAGTGATCTAAGTACGTTCTATGTCATCCGTCTTTTTGGCTAAGTGTTGTTGTTTACGACCCGGCACCGTCTATCACCTGGAGGCAGTTCGCGAAGACGGAGAGGTTTTTAGACCTCTTGCATGCGGTCTGTGGCTGGATAACAGAATGAATCAAGCCCATAGATTCGCGGCAGCAGACCGTTACGCATGAGGTAAAATGTGCATTACCGATGCAGAATATATTAGGACTAATTACAAATCTACAGAATAAGTATGCGTCATGCTTTGTTTTAAGTAATCGTTAAGGCACCCTCGAGGCTGAATGCTCTAGAACTGGTGCTCAAAGTCAACTTTACCGGTCAGACTGATTAGCACAGCTGCGTGCTATCCATCGAAATGGGTAAACCTCGATAGACCCATCGTAAGGCTAAAATCGAGGGACAATGCAATTTGTATAAGAGGCGTTTGCTTACGTCTTGTTCTCTAACGAGGCCTTCAACGACTAAGTCAAGAATCAGTCAAAAATACGAGTTAAGGTATCGCTATCAACTTACACACCTGATTGTTTTATGAATTTGCTGCGTCAACCTGACAGCTAAATTGTATTGCAAATGGCCTAATATTCACCTGGCTGTCTATAGTCGGACTAAAAAGTTAAGTGGAGGAGAGCTAATAGCAATCAAAAACCCGACTAAAGCCGAGATAACAAGCGCCACAGACTGTTAAGTAAACAAATGCGATATTTGCACCCATCCCTGACAGTAAATATAGTCATGCATATAAGAATAAACACA